CTATGAATATACAGATATGTGTGTATACTCTCGTATATACATATATATTGTGTATATAATATCTGAATATTTACGTATTTATATACATACGATTTATATATATATATATACATATATTCGAAGTTTATGCGTTAAATAAAGAGTATATTGATGCAAAACTTGATATGCTACAGGTTTGCAAAAGAAACTTTTATATGGCGTTCTTACTTTATGCCGCGCGTTGTAACTGGCGGTTTTATAGGATCGCCAGAAGCGCAGAAGTGCAGGAAAGCCGGAAATCACACCGTAATCGAGAACGATGGACGTTCGGTCGCGGGCTTGATCGCGACCCGGTGATTATTGCCAGTCCATCGCCGTCGGGAATTCCCGCGTCGCGTTCCGCGGATTTGCGTGCCAATTTAACCGCTACGTGCACGTCGATCGTCGAGGAAACGCCGCTCGGCACTCGAAACGTCTACCGCGAAAGCAGTGATGCCAGATAAAGTGATTTTTCCCACCACTCGATCGTCCCCGTCACTCTGGAGAACCACGTGACTGCTGCGACAGACTCGAACTTACAATTAGATCCAACGAGAAACATTCGATCTCTTCTTTTATTTCTAACCTTTATATCTTTATATCTTTCCTTATTATTCGTCGTACATTTTTGTAATCTTTCTAAGCTCTTTAAATAAAATTAAATAAAATAATTGCAAGTTATGGAAGCATACAATTATATTTATATAATATACTATTATTCGTTGTAAATTATGGTAATTCCTCACAGTCTGTCTATTGCAACAACATCTAATATTCCCGCGCGTGACATCTTGACATAGTAGATAGAATAATTTAATATATTTTGTCACAACCACATGTAAATTAATTAGTTTAACTTAGAGACAATTTAAAGGTGTTTTATATCTTGTTTATTTTTAGAGTCTTCATAATGACGGATCCAAAAATACCAAGCGCTCGGTTGAATACGCACACCACTGAGAGACACGTGACTGTTATACACTACTGCACATGCGCGAAAAATCCCCCGTTTGGTCTAACGATTCGAAAAAGGTATGCAGAGAATGTGACACGGTCGGCCGACGCAATTGAAAGCCGCTCGATGAATGCGATAGATTGACCCTGCTGGTTCAGCTAGGGCCGTGACTAGAATGAAGCCGGGTAAATAAAGTATATTGCCCATTCACGTGGATCGGCGAATTGATGAAATAAAAAATATATTACCTTTTTTGAACATCGATCGATTGCCACATTAGAAGTACTTCAATGTCGTACCTGCATGTGTCAGTCACATGGAATTATGTTAATCTATGTAAAACAATCGTCGAATAAACAGCAACTATGAATGAATGAAGTAAAATTGATGTAAGATTTGCAATGTTATCATTATACATTTCGTTATTATTCATGTAATTTCTAAAATCTTATTTCTTATCTCATCTCTTATATTTGTTGTATTATGATATTTTTAATTTTTATATAAATTTTTAATTTACCTGTTTATTTGGCTATAGTCACGCATTCGCTTTTATTATTAATCTTTTCTGTTAAAATAAATAATTTTTGAAGTCAAATGATTTTATAAATTAACTGTAAATTATAGCATTCTGTTCGCCAGAATTTTTTTAAAATGATGGTATCTCGCAAGTAGAACTATCTTGTTTCAAAAAGTTTTAATTTTTTATTGATCATTTCACAAAAGTTGGATATTAAAATTGAAATAGCCTTTTTATGTAATATTTTGGAGAATTATAACAAGAGTAAATAAGAAAACATTTAATATATCGTCGAAGAACACTCGGTAAAGTTTAAAATTGCTTTTCCTTAAATATATGATTCAAAAATTTATAATAATATAATATATAATATTTCTCTCTTCTCTCTGTTAATAATGTCAGACTCTGTACCTTGTTGTGTTTCTACTAAGAAACTTCATTGCCGACGAAGTATTACTCATACTGCAGTTTTAACATTATCAACTATTCCGATAACACCAGTAGGTATAATATGGATATAATTAGGTTTTATTTTATCTAAAACTTCTTGCATAGTTTATATTTTCTTTTTTTCCCCAACAAAAAAAGAAAACTTAAGAAAAATGAACCATACAGAAGTTTAGCTAAGGAGGCGTAATGATTTCTATATTAACATTTAGTTCATCAAGTCATAACATTTTTTATAATGGATTATTTACAGATTTTATATCTTTGTGTCCTTATAAAAAAATAAAATAAAATAAAATTACCAATTAAAAATGACGAAAAAATTCTTTAAAATCTTTCAAAATTTTATTTTATATTTTCGTTATAAATTAAGATTTTTTATTAAAAAGTATGCATTTTTATATTGCGCATAGCAAGAGTTTTAGAAAAAGTATGTAAGAATATGATATAAATATATAGCGATCTTTTTTCTCCACGCCAGGCATATGCATTGAATGTAATTGTAGTAAAAGCAAAAACACCGAATAATTCTTTAAAAAAGTATATATACATTTATCTATATATTTCTTTCTGTTAAAATAAATAATTTTTAGTCATGCGGGATGACATTGTAAATTAGCTGTAAATTAGCATTCTGTCCGCCACATTTTTTAAAAGTGATGGTTTTTCGCGAATAGAATTATCCTGAAATTTTTATTTGTGTGCAAAGATATGTATAGACAATACTTGTAGGCAATAATACATGTAGGCAAATGTAACTCCGTTTATAAAATTTTTATTTGTGCAAAAGTATTTGTAGGCAATCGAGCTGTTGGCAATAAGGCAAAAGGAAGCCATCTCATATTGAAAGAATTTACTTGTGCATAACTTATAGTAAAACACAGCTTGGACAATTTTTGCATATTTATTTGTACGATAAAATTATAACATTGCAGTGTATTGTCGAAATTTTCTAGCTTTCTCTTTGAAACGCGTTTAATTTAAATATATTTCTCATGTAATATTTTATATCGCGAAAATTAAGTTAACCCCTACATGTTTAAAGATTTATAGATAATATAATAGTTTAAGTGGAATTAATTATGTATTTTATGTCTTATATTTTTTAAATAACTTAATATTGTGATATAAGAGATAATAACTTATAAATATTACAATTTACAGATAATTTTTTAGATAATAACTTATAAATATTATAATTTATAGTTTATAATTATATATATATTTGTAGATAATATAAATATTCATTATTATAAGAATATTTTCCGTATAAAAATTGCAAATTTTTTTTTAATTTATGGAAAAGACAAACTATACCAAAATTTTGTTTGTATTACACTAAATATTCTCGCAATTTCTATAAAAAAAATTCTTTCTAATTTTAATTAAAAAATTGTTCAGATTATACAAGAATATCTGAATTTCTTCGCAAACATCTCTTACAAATAAATATTTGTTTTGATATTTTCTTTATCATGCGCAAGTAAAGTACACGATAGTTTTATTAGTGGCTGTCGTTAGTTTTAATTGAAAATCATTACTAATTATAAGTGGATTTTATTTATTTGCTCTCCAACATGATGTGCAATATCGTGTGATTTTGATAAGAAAAATATATGTTGTTTGTATCCGGGAGCAAAGATCCGAAGAATTATGCAATCTGTTATATACCGACTTCTCGTATCACACATGTATAAGAATTTTTCAGGGACATTGTTATATATCACTTGATGGTATTGTAGCAATAATTTGAAAAAAACAAGTTTATTAATTTGCGAATAAATGAAAACATGTTATATAACAAATTGTATTTGATTTTTATTAGTAAGATCGTATTTGTTTAACATTTACTGTTCTTTTCTATACTTTTCTATTCAAATATTAATATCCAGACTTTTAATGCGCGCATGCATATTTCATAAACATTGAATAATTTATTTTTAAAATTGATCGAAAATTGAATATATATAGCTTGCGCTGCAGTTTTAATTTAACATAAAAACGTTCTTTAACCCAGATTATCATAATGCACGATATTGCGCATTTATATATTCCTTCGATGAATATAAAATATTTTTTCTTCTAAATAATTCAGAAGAATACAACTCCCTTAAAATAGTTTTTCTAATATACAATTAAACATTTTTTTAATTGTTTTTCTTTATTTTAATTATTATTCGAATTATTTTCTTATCGAAAGACCTATTTTTTCTCTCTTGTTTATTCTAGAAATTATCTTTTTTCTAATTTTTTATTTCACTTATTACCAAGACTCTCAAAATTTGAATTACAGTTCATGTGTTTCCTCGTACATTCTTATTTATTTTAATTATCAGTACCTTTTAGTGCTCAATAATCATATGAAAAAGTACCTTTTAAATTTTTAATGCTCAATGATTATTTGAAAATCATTCTTTAAGTCTAGGTCCACAATTTTGCTTTAAGAAACCTTAAACAATAAAGCAATAAAGTAAGAAACTGAACAATCACAGTTTATTTTTTTTTATATTCGACTGTGATTAAATTGGTTAATTTCTTACGACTTTTACGGCTTAAAATCCATTCTACAATTACGTAAGCGTAGTTGTAAGTGGTTGTAGTTGTAGAGAATTAATCAATCACAGTCAAATATGAGGAAAATATTCAACAATTACAACTACTTACAACTATATGCTTACACAATTGTAGAATGAGTTTAAAGCCTGATCTACAATTGCATAAACGTAATTGTAAGTTGATCGTAGTTGTAACAATTCATCAATCACAGTCGGATATTCTCCTCGTATTCAAGTATGATTGGTCGATTCTTACAACTACAACTACATTTACGCAATTGTAGATCGGGTTTAAGGCCTCTTAAAACAAAGTTGTAGACCTAGACTTATATTTACTAACATCTCGTAAAGTTTTTCTACATTAGTATGCGTTGTGCTTCTCCCATCAAACAGAAAGAAGCTAATCCGCGTTAACGTTGATAGACTAAATCGTTGGAATAACGGACGCTTCATAGATCCCGCGGTCAACATAATTCTCATCCCGACTAGGTGCATTCGTGCTTCGTCGATTGTGGCAAGCACATCGTCGTCGTCTTCGTCTCGTCAATCACGACGCTGCAGCTGATCGTCCGCGACTCGTCTCGGTCCCGAGTTTAATCAGTTTAAATATAATATTAATGCGAAGTCATCCCGCTGATAATCGTCTAACGTATCACGTCGACGTTGCTATCGAACTTTTAATAATACGCGCCGGTTCTGTGCGGGCAGTCGGTCGGTGTTTGATTGTCAGTGCACATCCGACGGCCACGACTTGATACGCGACGCGACGCCAAGGGAGTGGTCATTATCGACGTAATAAGCGAGGTAATGTGGATCCAATTGACATATATAGATTTAAAAACGAGGCAAACGTCCTTATTCTTTCGAGACACGTTATTAAATATATCTCTTGTGAGATATTGCTTATAAAAAAATTTATTCACATTAAAATTTTATTGATTCAACTTGTTTTATCATCTCTCTTTCTATTTATTTTCGATATTATTGAACTGTATATTGGAAATTAAAATATGAAATAATATGTAATATTCTAAAAGGAAATAAGATTTGTAATATTCTAAGTTTTTTTTACTAAAATACGAGTATAACGCGCGTGTATGTCTTACAGTTGTTGCTCTTACACTTACATCACATTTATGTTATATTACAGTTATTAAATTTATATTTATATTATCATTATTATCGTATTAATAATTATTATGATATACGATGCGTACAAAATGTGCATACAATGCTAATTAGTATCAAAGAGTTTTTCTTTCTAAACTTTTTTCTACATTTGTCATAAAAAAAATCGAAGAGCTTACTATAACAGTGGATTAACCTACATTTTTTTAAATATACACGGTAAATCCTTCAATTGTTCAACATTTAAATATGACAAAACATAGATATCTTTATTATCGTAAAAACTATTATGTGCAATTAGCATTTGTCTTGACCAATGAAGTATGGCGGTTATTTATGTAACAGTCAGGCGATTAAAATTTACATGCGATTATACGCGTATTGTTACGGTCAAGATTCCCAACGGGAAATTGGCCACATCGTAAGCATGCATCATTAGCACGTATATAAAAAGTTTTCTTCAATGATCTATATTTTCTCAGTTAGCTACTGAGGCCATGGTCCGATTAATGCTGACAACGTTCATGAGTATCATTTGTGTTTGTTCAACATTTGACAAATAACAAGGATGAAACAATTTTAAAGCGTTGCGAGCATGAATCGGACATAAAATCCCGTCGTGTGAACACAATCGCGTCAGTATGCATTTCAATACGATGAGATTGCAGATATACATGATTTGTTAAAGTCACGGAAGAGATACCGTTGATCGTCGAGAAGTTAAATAACTACTCTGAGAAGCACTCCTGAGAAGCACTCGTCTGCATCATTTCGCACGTGAAAGACATAGAATAGATTGCGAAACGTTATCTAAGAACCTAATTCTCCCGCTCTCAATACTACGTGACTTCAAGATGACGTTGAACTAATATTAGTAAATCTTATGTTTGGAAATCCTTCTTTTCAATTACGGGCGTACAATAAATAATTTGTCTAACGATAATCGTTTGGATTTAATTTCTTTTTGAAGTCTTAATGGGCATATATAAAATGTAGTACGACTGCATATTATTTTTAGGAGACAAAAAGTTGTCTCCTAAAAATAGTATGCCCATTAAGACTCCAAAAAGAAGTTAAATAGAAAGCAACACGATTTGTTCAGTTGCTGTTGGTCTCCTTACATTGATTAGTTTAGCAGAAAAAGTAGCTTCGCAACTGTTGTAAGATTCTTTAAGGCTCCTGATTATTTACTGACTGTCAGAAGGGATAAGCATAGTTTTCGTCCATTTTTATATATCTTTTAAAGCAATCTCATCATTTTGTTTTATCCAAATTGTATTTATTTATAAATGGCATGTAATAAAAATTAACGTGATATTTCTCGCTTTTGATATTACGATTCAATATGGCTGTCATACATTTAGATCCAGCAAAGAACTAAAGGCAAGAATTAATTTTATTTAAAAATCTTACAACAGTTTTGTGTGCGTATGTGCAAAGCTGCTTTTTCCGCTGAACGCAGCAATTATATATGCATAGATTTTATGCTCGTGTTATATGTATAGATTACAGAATTACGCAAATAAAAAAAGCATTTATGCACAGTCATTTATTAAGATTGACCGGTATTGCTTTAATAGGACGTATTGCTTCAATCCAAACATTTTTTAAGACTTATAATTAGTATGTGGTTACAGTTGATTGAAAATTAATATTTTCCTCTAGTTATACAATTTACATGATTTCAAATTAAACAAAGATTTTATTACTGAAATTTGGTAATGTAAGGATAACGTTTTTTAAAACTCTATATACCTATCCACTCGAAAAATTGCTACACAATGAAATAGTTTCTTGGCCTATAATCGAGCCATTAGTTGACAAGAAAATAATATTTATTTTATTCACAATGTCGCAAACATTTTTGACTTACAAAGTCTTCTTCAGTGCTCGCAAATTATTTATGTCTCTATTCCCTCTATAAACTAACGAATTACATACTAAAACAGTCGTTTGGATTAATTACAAGTATCCATACGTTTATTACACAATTAATTGTTCGATAAACTTGAAATCTGTAAAGATGTTTCAAATTAAGAAGGATGCAGTCGATTGACGATATTCAGACGGTAATTTTACTTAAATTATCAATATGTTAAGATATCCGGTGGAATTTTATTTTTGACGTGACTTGTTTAAATTTACAACTTGACTGAATTCTCGATAATAATCGGAGAATTGAGCATAAAAATATTTTAATAGTATGACTGTAGAATAAATGTTGACGGAATAATGACTATGATATTGTATAATGTGTGGATACTTATAACTAACCTGAATAACTTTTTTAATATGTAATTCGTTAGTTTACAGAGGAAATAGAAGGATAAATAATTTACAAGCACTGAAAAAGACTTTATAAGTTGAAATGTTTGCGACATTATAAGTGCAAAAATAAAATTAATGTTATTTTCTTGTCAACCACTAATTGCTCGATTATAGGATAGGTCGAGAAACCATTTCTATATTCATAGATTTGCTCATATTTAGTTTGTTTCAGATGTATACAAGTAGTTTCAGTTCCAATATTAAAAACACGTATATTTATTCGTTAAAATATTACATTTAATATTACAGTGAATGTGTAATAATGCAATTCATTAAATAATTAATAAGTAAATAATAATATTAACAAATAAAGTATTATCGTTAATAATGTTAAATAAATTTATTAAATGAGTAAAAACTCATTCTTACTAATTTTGTATTTTAAAGCCTATTTTGTTTCAGATAATCTATGATTTGTATTAAATCGGAATAAAATTCTGTTATAATGTTATATGATATACAAAATATGACTTAATTAAATTGAATCGTATTTAAGTACGAAATAAATTAATCAATATATGCGTGAACGTATACAATGTGAACAAGAAAATTTTTTAACTGCTGTTGTAAGCTAATTTATATTTGGAATGAATGACGCATAAGATCAAAGTATATATAGAATGTTTGGAATTTAAAGGTCAACAATTTAAGATATTTATAGATATTAAATATGTAAAATAACTAAATTAAGATAAATAAATTTTCCATAACACATCTTACTTCATCTTTTTGAGTAATATTTGTATTTTGTGTCGATATTAATACGCTTGATATATACGTGATTTTATTATACTAGTTCCGTATTTTACCGCTCCTACTGCTTCATCTAATATGCCATTTGTTGAATTTAACAGAATTGCATCAAGATGCCACACGTTCTAAAGACCTTGTTCCATCTGGTCAGTTTAGCGGTTTACAGCTTCACAGTCTATTACACCTACAATGTATTACATTTTCCTGGGTACAAAAAGTTTAACAATTTCGATCCTGGCCAAAATAAATTCTTAACGGTGTGGAATTTGGTAAGTAGTATTTTAGTTTCAATCGTATAAACTCATGGTCTCTCCTTTCCTTAGATAAAATATATTATATATATATATATAGACAGTGGACAAAACAATAAATAAAGTAGCTTATACAGCATATACTCGTACAACAAACATTTTTTAAATAATATCCTATTTACGTTATAACTTCTATGCATAGCATAGATTTTTTAGTGTTCTAAATAAAATAAATTTTTATCGATATCTTATAAGAAATGGAATAAATTCCTGCAAAATGAATTTTCATCTGTAGTCGAATTTTGTAAAAATGATTGATAGAGATATAGATATTGCAGTCATTTTCTACCCAGATTGGTCAATCAGAGCTTGAAATGGAGATTGAACAATTTTTATATGAAATACGCTTCTATATATCGAGTCTATCAAATTTTTCGTAGTCAATTAGTTCACAAATCGATTGTCTGAACCTTCTCTGCTCGTGATATATATAACTTGGTGCTTTTTTTTTACGTTAGTCATTGTAAGTTATATATTGTAAATTACAAAAAATTTTTTTTGCCTACGCAGATACAACAGAGTCATTTAAACAATTTTTTTTTATAGTTTTATGAATCGAACATGGCCATAAATACGTGCTAACATATAGAAATTATAAAACATTACATCAGTGAATAAATGAATATTAATGCTCTTGTCATCATTACCATCATGTGAATTATGAAACTTTAAAAACAGGAAACCTTAATATGAGAGCTGTACAACTAAGTAATCTTCTAAAGTAAATCAATCTAATAAAGAGCATGTAAGCTAATTTTAATATTAGATGCTTATATAACATTAAAATAAATTACTTTGCAAACTAACGACAAACTATTTTGTACACAGCGTGTTAAGTGTTGGTGTAGTGCTTAGATGTTCTGTATTAGTAAATAAACATATAATTTATTATTCTTCTCTTGTATTTAGTATTTCGAATAATAATGTATCTTGTGATAATTCAAGGTTTACAAGTATTTAGTTCAAGAGATTTCCCAAATGTTAGTACAAAATGTTAGTATCGTATTATCTACCAGTTTTCTTATAAAACAAGTGCTGCGTAAATTGAATTTATTTTTGTTGTCTATAAATATGATTATGTAAACATATTTATAATTGTTACTTAATCTTCTTTTTGTTGTATGTACTTTTTTTAATTGAAAAAATTAGCAGCTGTGATATGATATCTTGTGATGTTGAAATATGATATCTAAATATGAATATTTCTTTTGAATAAATTAGTTAGCGATGAAAAAGTCTTTTGCTAATTCATCAGTCATTATAGCGCATTAATATTTTTATTTAATCATTTATTTAATCATAATAAAATAAATTAGGACTAACAAATCCTGATTTATCCCTTATAGAAATTTAATTATAAAAACTAATAATTAATTGCTTATTTTGAGTAATAAAAGCATTGTTGTTTAGTACTTTTAATACTCAAAATAAGTAACTTTTAGTATTAAATTGGTCAGTTATTAAATTGAATTTCTGTAACGGATGAGCCCTAAAATAGGTCAAATTAGAACAAGTTCTGATTTATGATTCGGCCGGATTATGTATGTTTGTATCCAGTGTTTCAGATTTAACAAAGGATGGAGAAATATCATTGTTCTCCCTTCACTATTGTGTCATCAACTTTGTGTAACTCCAAGTTTCTAGAAAATCTAGTCCTTGTTGAATGATAAATTGCTCTCTCTCTCTCTCTCTCTCTCTCTCTCTCTCTCTCTCTCTCTCTCGTCTTTATCTTTCTTTTCTTTCTCCAACAAATCGTATTCTAGATACAGTTTTATTATTTCTTTGACGGACTTCTAATGCCACAAAATACCCGAGCAGAATAAAAAATCGTATATATCAAAATGACTCCAAAATGATTACTAAAAGTCATTTTTCGATCAGTCACGATTTATTTTAATGTTGTTTTGACATTGTCATGACCTGTTATTCTGTTATTATTAGCACCTTATATCTTTAAATGTTATAAATAAATAAAGAATACATAAGACATTACATAATAACAACTTAAAATCAAATATAAAATCATTTTCTAGCGTTTCGAATTTAAGTATTACAGGCTCGAACAAGAGCTAGTTAACCGAGCATAGCAGAATTGCAGAATAAGAAATTACATAGTCTCTACACAAACAGTAATTTGAAGAGATACGCCTACATAAAGGTGGCATCTCAGCTCAAGGTCTGTCAATAGCAATGGAGAATAGCGTGTATGCGGGACCAATGTCCGATTGGCAATCAGTTCAAGTCGACCACCTGCTGTCTCAATTTAAGGGATTATGCTGGTATTGGTCGTGAGATTTAATTGCTTATGACATGGTCAGTGATTCCTAAGGGCGGGAGCACGGATTCTTGCGCGTAACGCATAAGAAAATGAACCAATTAAAATCCTTTGTTTCTTTCCTTTCCATCAAATAAAAGACTCTGATCGATTTTCCTATGCCTTATGCGTTATGGCATTACGCAAGAATCTATAGTGAGAGCAAAAAGTACAGTCGAAAAATTTAGCTTCTAAAATCAGAAATACATGCGAAGCTCGATTGTTTATGTTAGAACAGAATGTGTTCATTGTATAAAATTGCTAATTAATGTTTATTTTCTACAAATAAGATTTTTTGAATAAAAAATTTCGTACGAATATTTTTTGATCATCCAAACAATACAATTTTTAATTTTCGTTTATTTTTCAGATGATATATTTTCTATAATTAATACACATCTTTTTTGGTACATATAATTTTAAGAAACATACAGTCTATTTTATTCTTTATGAATAAATTGTTAATTATCCATCAAGAAAGAATCGTCAGTTAAACGTCGAATCGACGTCAAATTAGTGTTGAAACCATCGTATCGATATTCATTCGACATCAATTCGATGATTCATTTCTTGCTGGATAATGCTTACTTTTTAAAAATAAAGTTTTTTTAATAAACATTTTCTCTGTACGAATACTTTTTGCACTCACTGTATACTGGTCTTTTTATGGACAGAATAAACTATTATCTAAGCTTTTTAAGTCTTAAATCATAAGAAATTAACCAATCACAGTAGTCGAATGTGAGAAGAATAATCGATTATGATTGATCAATTTCTTATAGCTAGAGCTCAGGTAGAAAGCCCATAAGAAAGAGCAAGTTCGACGATGAGTAGGGCGCCCAGGATACCTAAATCCACCACTGCAACGTTACTCCCTTCTATCTTTTTCTACCGAACGGCGACTGCATGAACCAAACGCACGCACCACGCTGCAGTCTTTTCTCCCTTCCCGAATCCCACCCGTCGTTTTACTCCACTATCCGTCAGTAAGTCGCGGGCCGCCGACACGAGTGTGCTCCGGGTGTTCTTTGTGCTAACCACGTGAAACGTGATCTCGGTGTATCGCGCTCCAAAAAAGAAAAATAAGAGTAAGGGAAAAAATACAAGGACAGACGTCGCGCACATAGCTATACCCGCTTTAAAGAATCGAGGCGCGCGTTTTCCTCACCAAGTAAGGGTAGATCGATCGGTAGTACTCCCGAGGTCGTGGAGAGACGGTCATGTGCATGGACCGCGATTAAAAATAGGGTTCTCTACGTCTTTCTCTCTCTCTCTCTCTCTCTCTCTCTCTCTCTCTCTCTCTCTCTCTCTCGCTTTCATGAGACGGGTGTGTCGATACTACGATGAAAGTAGAATCTGGACCTCCCCCGCTCCTATCACACAGTAGGCAAAGTGTTGCACGATCTTGGCCGAGTATACTTAGAATATGCGGTGCTGATCACGCGAGATAACTTCCACGTATGTCGCATACGTACATACGCATGACACGCAACGGAAGCATGTCTTTCCGTATCCAACAAATAGACCTTGCTCTCGGTGGACGAGTGTGTCACGACGACCCTCGCTGCAGAGATAGAAGGAGGTTAGGGTTGTTCACGAAGTCGTGTTCCCCGAAATCCCCGCTGCATGTTTTCATCGTTTAGCGTCAGCGATCGATCCCAAATGATCACCGCTCGTCGAGCGGCGTAGATCCGGAGATATGAATTTCTATCGCATGACGTGGCGGAGCACGTGGTATGGTTATGACATCACGCAAAAAAAACTGTATAAATGAGGAAAGGAAGAGAAAAAATATTTACGTGACACAAGTATAGAGATAGAGATTCAAAATCGTGGATTTTTAAAAAGAGCGAGAAGGAATCGGTAGACTTGCGCTAACTTTCCGTAAACTTTGAAAAATCTCTTATTGATCTAGCCCTTTTATTATGAATTTGTATTTCCCGCGATTTATCCATAAAGAAAAAAATTGTTTATTTCGTTATCTTACGTATTAATTGTTTATTTATTTACTTAATTTTAAATGGTAGACTAAAGGCATCTACAAGTGGTTAAAAAAATAAAAATTGCGAAAATTCCGTAAAATAGCGGAAATCGATATAAAGTTTTGAATATCTCACACTGACTTGTCCTTATTATAGATTAATTTTGACTGTTATTTGATTTTTCTGTGGTTTATTCATTAAAAATTAATTATCTGTTTATTTAACTTTTAATGATAGACCTATAGGCGACAGGAAATTACCAGTTCTTCAAAGAGCGGAGAAAAGACCGGTTTAAACTTTTAAAAATTTCATTCTCTTTTATTGTGGATTCGTATTAGTCGCGATTTGAATTGTTTGTGCTTTATTTATAAAAGAGTAAATTATTTAGTTAATTTTTAATGACTATTAATTATTTATTTAGTTAATTAATTTTTAATAACAGATCTATTAATAGTAGAAAATAAAAATTCTTAAAAAGGACAAAAAGGGGGTAATTGACGTAAATTTAAAAAAACTTTCATTAATCTTCCTTTCATTTAGATTTATATTTGTCATGATTTGAACTTTCTGTAGAGTTTATTCATAAAAGAATCAATTTTTGTTTGTTTAGTTAAATTTTTTTTAATAACAGATCTATGGACGGTAGAAATTTGTGGATTTTA